CTATTGGATTGTTGTCCTTTAAACTCCTTAAAACGTGAATTGGCATCTCACTCTTTATTAAGTAATAGATTAGTATGTCACCACAAATACAAATCAATGAAGATACAAACCAGCAATTCAGTATATTTAGGTTGTTGCAATGTACCTTACCTGTGTGATTCCCTCGTATTAAATTCACACTTCAGCTGTAATTTTTTATTAAGCAGCTTGTCTGAAATTAGTTGTTCCTTTCCTTTTCAGCTGACCCCCTGGTTGGAAGTATTGCCACTCAGTATATGACTAACAGAGCAGAGCATGACAGAATGGCCAGACAATGGACCAAAAGATACGCTACATAAATTGGATTTTTGTCTAACTCTTGCATTGTCTGTCTGTGATGGAAAGAGCTGCTTATGATTTTGAAGGGGTGGGGGGAGGGGGGTGCTGGTAAAGAGTAGGGTATTTCTATAACAGATTTTATTCAGTCTTTTATTTCCTAAGATTTTGTTGTTGTAACTTAAGGTATCTTGCTACAGTAGACAGCTAGGATTGGGAATAGCATATTTTAAAGACTGTAATTAGTTCAGCAATATTAGCTCACATATAGTACCGAGAAGAATGTAAACTTCTTAGACTTCTTTGGTTTTCAGTTTGCTTGCAATATGTAAAAGATTAAAACAGCTTAATTTTGTACAGGTGCATATGTTGACATTTATGTAAAAGTCCTTTCAAGACTACACACTGTTTTTGTTTTGTTTTGTTTTTGGTTTGGGGGGTTTATTTTGTTCTGGGTCAGGTTTCTTGGGGTTGTTTTTGTAAAAAGATGTTGGGATTGTTTTCCCCTATGGAGGGCACATTGGTATTTAACAAATCCTTTTTAAAGACTGTCATCTCATGATCTGTGATATGGAGAGGTGGATATACGGCCTCATATATGAAATGAGAAGTAGTTAATGTATTATTTTATAAGCCAATCTATCTTTGTGAAAAGAATAAAGGGTTTAATCAGGACTTATGGTAACCTGTAGTGAAATACCTTAAGCTGTTTAACTGTAAGGCGTGGAATAGGAGTCACTCAGTGGATTGGTTGTATGTTGTGGGCTACTTAAGTCTGCATTTGTTACTGTGCTAATAAAAAGATGTTTAAAAAAAAAAAAGGAAGAAAAAAAAAAAAAATTTCTGCCTAGTGCCTTGCTTTGTCATTTTGCCAGAACAGTGTCTCCCAGTACGCTTTGAGGATCAAGGTATGGGTAAGGACAAGGGAGATCTGCAGGTGAATGCACTGACTGCTGCTATTTTGCAAAGACACTTCTAGACAAGCTACAGTGAATGACAGCTGAGACTTCTCAACTGTTTACTGTGTAAGTGTTGCCCAGGCTGGCATGGCCCATGAGGAGGCAACCTGCTGCAGAGTCTCTGCTAGTTACTTTTTATATTAAGTTTTCAGCATTGCTTTTTCAGGACTGGCACATTATTTGGAAATACTACTGAAAAAGTGTAAGAGATCTGGAAGGGAAACATGCAGGAGGTAAAATGAAGAAGCAATTATCTCCCTGGTTTTCTGATGGACTGTTGTATTCCCACTCAGAAGAGGAGATGGAATCGTGACTTGGTAAGCTAGCAGAAGACACCTTAAAGGAGAATAAAGGAGACTTAGTCTGTAGATCCTTTAACTACCTACAAAGATTATCTCCTAGAGACATATTGTTTACACTGAAGTGTGTGGCAACAGGGTAGTTAGTTGTGGATGTGACATTTTTGACCACTCCCTTAAGGTAAAGGCCGGAAGTACAGATTCATTTTCACACAGCAAGTACTTCACCTTGCAACAATCTTCCGGGTGCACTGTGGTCATCTGTGCCCCTGGATTTGTTTTGATACTTTAAAATAAATTCTGTATCTATTTTATTGATACACTTCTCTTCCTATCTATCTATCTATCTATCTATCTATCTATCTATCTATCTATCTAGATCAAATCCAAGTTGGTCTGGTAATCTGCTAATTAGAGATACCCTTCCTTTGCTAAGTGATTGTAGGTAGTAGTACATTAGCCTCCGCTGCTAAACTTGCCTTCTTTTGGGACAACATATGTTTGGTGTATGAGCTTTCTCAGCTGTTTGGCTCAGCCTAGGAAAACTATTGGCATGTAGGTACATCACACCAAGAGCATTTCTGGTAATCCCTTCCTCCTCCCCTCTACTGAGTGAAAAGGTAGATGGCTTAATCTCAGTAGGTTTTTCTTGGCTCCTTGCTTCATGCTACCAGGACATGCCAAATAAACTGTTGTAGCTGGCAGGGAGGAGGGAGCTGATTTGTGGTGACTGATTTCTACAGTGTTTGTTTGGCAAGATAGAAGTTTAAGAGGAACAGAGAAAGGTGGTTAAACTTACTAATATATTTTCCTATTTCATGACAACTTTTCTCCATTATCTTGTGAAGAGACTGTCTAGCTGTGTAGTAGGTAAGTGATCCCAGTGACCTAGGAGAGGTTTGGAGTCAGTGGAATAGTAGGAACAAATTACGTGTTCTGCCCTTTAGCTACTACATTATACTCTGTACTTTACTCATTAACCCCATGTAAAACTGTACTCCAGTGAGTTTCATTTAGACTCGGTAGCAGCCACTGTGTGTAGATTGTTTGTGGAGGAGATGCTGTATTTTCCATCACTTGTCAATAAAATAGTATGGTACTTAGAAAAGACAATTTATATGAGTACTTAAAAAGCATCAGAATAAGCTTAGGAAAGAAAATAGTGGGTGGTCGTTGTTTATGTGAATGCCCAAAATCATCTAAACTATTTTCTAATGAATTTAACCAAATCAAAGATAACGTGTTTGCCTTTATGTAACTTGTTTAGAAAAATGGCTTTAGTCATTCAGAAGATCCCTTTTTATCTTGCCTTTCCTAAAACATTGTCAAGTCCTGAGTGTTCAGGGGAGCAAGTGAGCAAGCTGATCTCACACGGCTCTGGAATCCTACAGATTACATCAGTCTTGGTAGTGGAATGGGCACCAAGTCTGCTGGGTGCAGAACTGGTCAGGAACCACTTGTCTCTGTTCCTTCCATCTCCATATATTTTAACATATATTCATTCTGACTTAGGAACCTCCATTCCCCTTGGCTCAAGGGTCAGCATCAATGACAATGTGTCATTAGCAGAGGTCTTTGCTTATTGAGATTAACCCAAAGCTGAATCAGGTTCCTTCTGGAAGAAGGGTTCTGTAGAGCTGAAGAGGAGGAACATAACCAATTTCTTGGTGAGAGGTTGCAGCAAGGAGGTGAACTGCTGCTCTGAAGTCACCCCCACTTGAAGCACACAGGCAGACATGGAATCTTCTGGGCAGGGAGAAGCCTTGAGTACACGTGTGTTTGGTAGGAAATGAGTGAGGAGGGAGGGTTGTTCTGCAGCATCGCTGGGGACAATGACTATGACTAGCCAGGCTGGGGAGGGTCGTGCTATAGTGCTTACTCAGCTGCAGTGTTGCAATGGAAACGATTGTATGTTTCTAGCAAGGAATTACAAGAGCTTGCTCATTCCTAATTGCTCTCTTATCTTACTCCTTGGTCACAGCAATCCAAACTACATTGAGCAAAGCACATAAACAGTTTCGTCTACCTTCATTATAAAGCTAGGAACACCTGCTTAATTTTAAGTGAATTGTACTGCTGCTCTGACATTAGTAATGCTGAAGGACTTTTATTTGTCAGTATTCAGGAAGAGCAATGCTATAAGCACACAGCTTAATCGTGCCAATTAGGCACACTTACTACTTTGCAGTTATGATATGACAGTGCAAATATTGCTCATGGTTTTGCTGATTCACAGTGAAATTCTCAACATTTGTTCAAAATTACATTAGTGGAAAATGAAGGAACTGAGGACTTGTTCACTCCCTCTCCCCACTCTTGTCTTAAAATATAAAGAAAAGCCAGTATCAATTAGTCTAAGAGGTTGTTAGAGGCCAAAAGCTGGCCACTCTCTCTAGGAACAGTTGCTCGTTCTGTCCCTATATATCCAATTTTGTTTAGTTTACTGAAAAGCTGACCTAGGACAGCAGATTTCTGCAGCCTAGGTTTACTAGCGTGGAGGGTCCAATACAGGATGTACGGTTGTGCTCCTGCTTCTGGGCAACATGTGGCGTATTAAGACCAAGGCCATTTGTACAGGTATTTCTGGGCATTTGCCATAGGGATGTTCCCAAAAGGCAGCTTCCTACACTCCCCTAGCCCCCTCTCACTAAATATTACAGCACTTGGCACCAGTTGTCCTCTGGCCTGTAGCTTCGCGCCGAGGGCGGGTTACTGCAGCTTGGTGGAGTGGCTGGGTAGGAGCATTGTGCAATAGACCCAGCAGAGCCCAGGCAGTGCCTCCTGCATGCAAAATTGCTTTGGATAATTTCACAGTAAAATTATCACCTATGTGAATGTGACTGATTTGTACTGGACGTGCTGGAACAAAACCACATACAGCTATGTTGTCCTTCAGGTTGCAGTTAAATGAATGAGTGCTCTGAGGGCTTTTCTGGTTTGTACAAATAAATTCCTGAGCTGAAAGCAGTGCTTGCCAGACTTTGCTGACAACCTTCATGTCAGAGTAGATCTGTTCTAGTATCTCCCACAAGATTTGTTTGTTTTGTTTTGTTTTGTTTTCCCCAGGCACTAGAACTTCAGTGGCTAAATCTGTTCCTCCTGCCCCAAAGCCCTCTCCTGCAACAACACACTGACCTCAGCCTCCTGCAGCATCAAAAAACCCTGTGGCCATGTTTAAGGTCCAGGTAAAAGCACTGTTGCCATTTCCAATATATCCTTTCTCCAAATTGAATGCTTTATTACAGCTAGTACTATTTCTGACTAGAGGCTATAGATCTGCAGGGGGATTGCTTAATGATAAGCTTGTTGATTTGTCCCTCAATATGGCTGTATCCAGGCACAGTCAAAACCCCTGCTAGAGAGGCGTCCACCTGTCCCTCCCTTGTCCATAACCCTTGTTACAAGATAACTCCTCTTATTAAGTGCTTTTTAAGGCTTTTACCACCAGAGACTTTTTCAAGCCAAGTCCATGAGCAGGAAGGATACCTCTTGGCCATAAGCTTGCTGATTTTATTGCTGAATGAGATTATTGCTTTAAGTGAAACTGTGAGACGCAAATGGCACAAAAAGGACTTAGGCTGTGACCTGGCAGCAGCAGACAATGCTAAAGTAGCTTAATTATCAGAGTTATTCCCTTTGCTCTTCCTTCCAGGCAAGGGAAATGTTGATTTGTTCTGGGACTGGGAGAGTTTGCTAGCTAAGAAGGTGAAAGGCTCAAGCAGTGTTTTCCGATCTGTCACAGTCACTTCCCACAGTCTCACTTTCTCAGCCCTTGCCCATTGCTGTGCTGCTTCTGTTTCCACTTGTCTTTGGTCCAGGAGGTCAGTTTTGTTTCCCAAGACAATAACTGTTACCTAGAAACAAAAGGAAATGGTGAGCTTGATAAAGGAAGCACCCACCACTTACAATGCTTTAAAACAGCAGGCAAGTAAGTAGCAACGCGGTTCAGATCTTAGCAGTCAGCACTGGCACAAGGTAAGCTGTGTGTAGTTGGGAAGATCAGGGTCTGGGATCTGAATTAGCCTGGGAGCTGGTTTTAATCAAAGGATAGGCAGAACTTCCCCTTGTCCTCCTCACGGCCCCACCCCATTTTCTGACGCCCCCCCCCCCCGACGCCCCCCGCGATTTCTTAAAGGGAAACTAACCAAAAGAGCCAAAGTTAAACGGCCCTATTCTGCATTTGCTTGGCAATTGATCTGCCCTAGACAAAGGATAAGAGCATGACATACGAGTAGGTCAGAGTAGCGGATGCTTGAGAGGTGAAAAAATGCATGGCAGCAGAGAAAGCCTGGGCCCCGCAGCTCTGGATTTTGCCCAGCTTGTTTTTTTCTCAAGTCCCAGCCGGCAATATACCCAAGGCCATCCCTGCCTTGCAGCCCGGGCAGGCTGCTGAGCAGTTGAGCTGTTAAATCCCTCTCCCAGCCCAGATGCCCGCATGCACAGGAAGCCGCTGGAGGGACCTAAGCTTACAATCCTCAGTCACTGAACAGGCTGGATAAGCATCAGCACCATCCTCAGGAAGCAGTTTCGAGAGCAGCCAGTTAGTGACCAGAGCAGCCCAGCTCTATCAAGTCAGATCCTTAGCTGGAAGGATCAGTCAAGTGACTTGTGTGTCACTCTGACAGTACAGTGTGGCTGGGCTCAGCGGCCTGACTGGTACTTCAGTTCTGGGAAGTGCGGATGGTAGTGCTGAACACTTAAAAGTCACTGCTTCTGCTTGTTTCAACCATCTAAGAATGTTTTACCAGCATCAGCTTTTAGGGGAAAAAAGCCCTATATTTATAGTTCAAGGTCCTTCATCAAACTCTGGTCTCATCTCTACACTAGTGGTTTGACAAAGATCAAGTGACAAAGTCCTCTCTTGCTGATGATTCAGAGTTTTTACTGTGGCCACATCTGCTTGCTCTTCCCTGTTTGTCAGGCTTAACTCCAGGATGTCCTCTGGTTCTTTCCAGCTAGAGATGCTTGTCCTGTTCTGCGAGGACTATAGCAGCCCACCCATGGTGCCTGGAAAAAAATGTTTTTCCCTCTGCAAGGGCTTTGAAAGAAGATATGACCTTCATATACATTTACTGCTTGCTTCAACTGAATTTTACCTATGGTTAAGCTCTGTCAGTATGAGAGAACACATCTTCTATTTAGTGTAAAATTTGGCCAGGCTTTAAGGTGTGTGCTGGATAGACCCCACAGCAGTGGGCCAGTAGAAGCAAGGAAGCAGCCATCAGTCCCTTCTGTCATCTGTCACACAACAGGGGACTGTGCCACTCAACAAGGTGAAGTTCTGCCGGATCAGAAGCACCATGAGTGGAGATACATCCCTAATTTGGTTAAGGATGGATTCTAGCAGAACCCAAACTTTAAGCCTCCTGATGCTATCTTGAGGTAGGACTCCTGATTCTCACCTTCTACCTGCTTCAAATAATATTTTATATGGACTAGAAACCAGAGGAGTAAAACTAATTTATCCAGCTTATTGTGGGCACTACTCTTTTGACTAGTTATCCTCAGTAAAAATCACAACTTTAAGTTCTCCCAGAAGAGAAGCAATTTGGCTGTTTTCTAAAATACCTGCACGTAGCAAGAGAGAAGAGTTGTGGCAGGTAACATGGAGAGAGAGAGAGAGAGATCCTGCTGTGGCTGATTTCCCTCTCCTCAATATAGTATGCTGTAAAGTAACAAATCAGGGCCCTCACAAAACACAGCACCTGGGAAAAACCCTACATGTCCACCTTCCCTTGCCCTGCAGGGGAGTTGTGATTGACTCCCATATCCCTCAAATACGTGACAGCCTGCAGCTCACACCAGCCCTACCAGCTACCAAACCTCTCCTGTGACTGCAAGTTCAGTTGCTGTCAAACTTGAAGCCTGCCTTCCTCCACCACCCTATGTGCTGTCAGTACTAAACAAGTTACATTTTTGGTAAGTCTCACCCTACCATTATCCAATTAATTCTTCATGCACTTTTTTTTAACAGCATAAGCCAGACACTTGGAAAGCTGTAGGCTAAAGGGAAATTTAACATTTAACAGGGAAAACTACTTGAGAATATAAAGATACTGTAAGAAAAGCCATAATGCTAATGCCACATGCAAGTTATATTTGTTTAGCTAAGCTGGAATACTGTCAGCTGAAAACACTAGCTGCTTTCTAAGGGAAAATAGAGCAGTCATTTCACACAATTGAATTGATTCAATATGGTTGTTAAAATACATTAAAGCCGCTTTGCCAATTGAATAATGTCTGGGAGACCCATTGTCAATTACACTAGTTTGTAAGTCATCAAGTACATGAATACAAAACAAACAGAGATAATGCCCTTCGTTATATTTTTCTATGCACTTGACTTCCCATGTACAATATCTAAAAAAACCCCATATGAACTGCAGTGCTGTAGATCGTATGTTTTATTAGTCATAAGTGTCCTAGCTGGTGCATTCAGCTCACTGAGTTTTAGTAGTACTAGAGGAATTAAGGAGGAAAAAAACACGCATTCTTTTGCATGACCTGCATGGCATATGAATTAGGCTTCCCCAGCATGAGAAAGCTTCCTTTTGCTGGATTGCCCAAGGCTGTGGATACGTTAGTTTTCCTTTGTATGAGAGTTTCACAGAAACAAAAGATAGCTTTGCAACCGTAACTTCCTATCACTGATACACCGATTATCCAAGCAGATAAGGCACCATGCAGTTACCTCTTTTTTGTCTCTAAAGACGTCAATCTCCTTTTTGAGCAGTTCGACTCTCTGGAAAGCTTCGAGGCTGGTCACAGCGTACACCAGAACAAAGCCATCAGCGACAGAGAAATAGTGTTTTGGCAATTCTACGCCCTCCTGCAGACCCCTGGTGTCATAAAGTCGTAACTGTTCCTTCACGCCTCGGTCTGTTTCCACCGAAGCCAAATACACATCTTCTATTGTGGCACCCTCTTCTAAGCCTGTTTTAAAACAAGCAAGCAAGTTCAACTGGTGTAAGTACAACACCACCATAAGAATTATTTGCAGTACAGCCGAATTTTACCCCGCAATAGCTTTCAGTACATGTTTTCCAGAGTGACTTGACCTGGACTCAGCTTTGCCTGACGTCCCCATGAATGGCTGTATTCATACATCACCACACCAGCTATTTACAATGCAGTGGCACTGCATAAATACAGTCATCTAATATATGAGCACATGATTATGTATGTAAAATTAATCTATACAACATGCACTTTCAGGATAGGATAAGATATACCGCTC